TGTCTGAACAGACTAATCTCAAACTCATAGCCTCCAGCAATCCTTTAGTCTTGGACCTCCAGAGTGCTGGGAGTACAGGCCTGAGCCACCGTACCCACCCTAAACTATTTTTTTATGAACTATTTTTTAAAACAGTCTTTATGTATCAATAACACAAATATTTGCCATTAATTATGTTTAATTTTTTTTTGCAGTTTGACCGGGGCCGGGTTCAAACCCACCACCCTTGGTCTATGGGGCCAGCACCCTACTCACTGAGCCAGAGGTGCCGCCCTATTTAAAACTTTTTATTACTGGCACTGGTAACATAGACAACTACCTTGCTTTTGGTTATAAAGAAAAGGAAATGGGAATAAAGATCAGCATAGACCTACTATCACCACTGGAAAAGTAAAGGGCATCTGCTTTTCACTATTTAGGAGTCAAAGTCATTTTTGTAAACTTAACAATTTTTTTTTTTTTTTTTTTGGAGACAGAGTCTCACTATGTCACCCTTGGTAGAGTGCTGTGGCGTCACAGCTCATAGCAACCTCCAACTCTTGGGTGCCTCAGCCTCCCAAGTAGCTGGGACTATAGGTACCTGCCACAAAGCCTGGCTATTTTTTGGTTGCAGTTGTCACTGTTTAGCAGGCCTGGGCCAGGCACAAACCTGCCAGCTTTAGTGGATGTGGCCAGGGCCCTACTCACTGAGCTACGGGGGTGAGCCTTTTTTTTTTAAACAGAGTCTCACTATGTAGCACTCGGTAGAGTGCCATGGCATCACAGCTCACAGCAAGAGCTCTAACTCTTGGGCTTAAGTAATTCTCTTGCCTGAGCCTCCCAAGTAGCTGGGACTACAGGTGCCCGCCACAATGCCCAGCTATCTGGTTATGTTGTTGCTGTTGCAGTTGTTGCTTAGCTGGCCTGAGCTGGGTTTGAACCCGCCAGCCTGGATGTATGTGGCCAGCAATGTAACCACTGTGCTACAGGCACCAAGCCAACTTAATAATGTCCTGTTTTTATTTATTCTGCCTTTGCTCATTCTAAAACAAACAAACAAACAAATAGAAAGATTTTAAATGCTGAATTGGGGGACCGGGTACAATGGCTCACTCCGGTAATCCTAGCACTCTGAGAGGCTGAGGCAGATGGATTGCCTCAGCTCACAGGTTCCAGACCAGCCTGAGCAAGAGTGAGACCCCCACTTCTAAAAATAGTTGTACATTGTGGCAGGCACCTGTAGTCCTAGCCACTGGGAAGGCTGAGGCAAGAGAATTGCTAAAGTCCAGGAGTATGAGGTTGCTGTGAGCTATGATGCCATGGAACTCTACGAAGGGTGACAAAGTGAGAGTCTGTCTCAAAAAAAAAAAAAAAAAAAAACTAAAATAAAATGCTGAATGGCCATTAATACTAAAACAGAAATTAGCTTCATTTATCTTTATTATATTTATTGGAACAATCTCGTTCCACAAAGCACTTATGAAGTTGGATTTGGTATCTTTGCCATTTTCTTACTAAAGGTTTTGTTATATACTTTATATGTTGATGATAAATAAAAATTGCAGCACAATTCCTAGAAAATGGTAAGCAACCCACAAAATGTAGCTATTAAATGTACCAGGCTATAAGCTCTATGAGAGAATGGATTGTCTTGTTTTGTCTTGTTCAGCATTAGGTTTCAGACCCAGAATTAGTATTCATTAAAAACTGTTAAATTAATGGTGGAATATGATCTAAGTAATTCTTAACTCTCACCTCTTATTTACAATTACCTCCTCCAATGAACAGCAAAAAAGGACCTGGAAAAACCGTACCCCAGAGGAAAGGCACTTAAGTTCCTGTTTATATTTTCTTGAACTCACCACAAAGATTCTCCCCTTTGTCCCAAAGCCACAAAATCAATGCTTTGCAATAACGTATTCTTAAACAATTTTGCTTCATTTCCCCTCACAAACTGCATAAAGTTCCTTAAAACTGCAAGACAGTTTAGTTTAGTTCCCTTTACCCTTTAAAAAGAAAAGGCGTATTTGTAAAACCTTGTCAATTCTCAAATTTCTAGCCTGATTCCTTGATTTTTGATTACAGCTGGGTAATTACACAGGCTGCTACTTGCTTTTTTACATTTAGTATAAACTGAAATAATAAAATAGGGTTAAAATAGAAATTTTTTATAAGTTATACACCTGGCTTGACACCTGTAGCTCAGTGGCTAGGGCACCAACCACATACACTGGAGCTAGCGGGTTCGAACCCAGCCTGGGCCTGCCAAACAACAATGATAAACAACCAAAAAATAGCCGGGTATTGTGGCGGACGCCTGTAGTCTCAGGTACTTGGAAGGCAGAGGCAAGAGAATCACTTAAGCCCAAGAATTGGAGGTTGCTGTGAGCTGTGATGGCACAGCACTCTACCAAAGGCAACATAATAAGACTCCATCTCAAAATAAAAAATGTTACACACCCAAGTATATCATACTTCAGAGCAGCAGTTCTCAACCTGCAGGTCGTGACCCCTTTGTAACAAAGAAAATACATTGTGGCGTTAGGAAGGTTGAGAACCACTGCTTTAGAGCAATAAGAATCAAAAAATTTTTCAACAATGTTACATTTTTTAAATTCAAAGTTTTTTGGAATAAATGCAGGTCCAGTTCAACAAGTCGCAAAAAAAAAATTGTCATTACTTTATAGTTTTAACTCCTATCGGACCTAAAACAGTATTGCCAACCTTATTGCTTAATCTTTTTCATCAGACTTTAGTGTAAATTCCCTAAATTATTTAGATTAAAATTGACTTCATTATTCCCTAAAACCAAATCTGCTATCAAAGAATGAGGATGGAGAAAAGTAACACATGCTTCAAAGTGGATAACTGTTTTCTGCCACACCTCAAAAGGCACTAATCCAAAGAACAACTTCAAATTAAGACTCAGAGAGAACACTTACCTATAAATCTAAATTTCAGCAGTATGTTACAGATTACATCTTAAATCCCTCTGGTAGAAATTCTACTAAACAAAAACTCAGCCTGCCTGGAAAGACACACAACATACCTAACAGTGGATGTGTCTGAGGAAGAGAGTAGTGTGGCTAGAGAACAGAAAGGAAAGGAGATTTTAACCGAATACCCTTTCATAAGTTTTGTATTTTATACAATGTATTATCTATTTTTAAAAATTTATTGAACAAAAATACTTTCAAGTGTCAGATACTGCTAGCTTCTTTACCATAGAAAAGCTTAGTACTAAAGAAATGTGGATTTAATTTTAATGGAGCTTTACTATCAATCTGGATCTCCTGTTCCAGTGCAGAGCTAGTCACACCAACTATTCGGGTTCACCCAAACTCCTTATAGTTGAGCTATTCTGCTGTATCACTCCATTAAAGTTCAAACAGCATTGGAGAAAAACCCTGATGCCACAGAAGTTAATATGTCAATGAGCTATTAAAAACAGTAAAAGAGAAATGATCCAAAAACGTTTGAAAATTATCAAATCAATAATGATTATACTTAATGAATGTAAAATGCTACAAATTCCTTTTGTAAACAGCCATAGTGTAAAATGGGAGAAAGATGTCAAGTGTGGTGCCATCTGCAACATAACTCAAACAGCTTGAACCAGAAAACGCAATATGATCCATTGCTGGACACAATTGCACAATCTCCATTACCCAGAAGATTCTACCAAACAGGAAATTCATGATGTGACTTTAAGGAACACAGGAATCATATTTAAAGATTAACCCATGCAAAACCCTGAAATTTGTTCCAAAACAAAAAAATCATTTCACAGGCCCTTTTCAAACGATACATACAACATAAATTACTGAAACATAGAAAAAGTTAACAGTTAAATCTGATATTTAGTATCAGATCAGGAACTTTCAAATTATATAAAAGCTAATGTATTGTATATAAAATCTTGGAAGTTAGAGAACAGTCAAATATTTCAGGTCTAGAAAATTTACGGCATTGGTTTCATTTAAAACATAGCATAAATTAAAGCCGAAAAGTATGTATCTTCCCTTCCTTTTCTACGTGTTGTTTCATATCCTTATGAAAACCATCGTGTACTTCAGGCCATAAATATAGAAAATTCCCTGCAAACTCTCTAAGGGTCTTTAAAAAACGCAGTATTCGCAGGAATTACCTCAATTAAAAAATGTTTACAATACCTCCCAGCACTGTTCATACCCTTTTGATCTTGAAAGCGCTCAGCGAATCTGAATCTCTCTGCCCCAAATGAGAAAATTGTTTTGTCGAACAATACTTAAATGAGCAATGGTATATTATGTGACTAATCAGTGAGGCCACCAGTTTATCAAGCTACAGTATTCTTGCAGGCACAACCACCACCCTCCCTCCACATAAAGGAAATACGCTTTCAACCGAATCGGAAACACACCACTCAAGCTGGCACAGTGCTAACTGAGATAAAGTTGGTATTTTAAGCTCTATGGGCCGCTCCTAATTCAAGTCCAAATTCAAAAAGAAGGCTTCTCAAAAGGGATTTCGACAGAGGTTTGCAAAAAAAGCCCTGAGAGCGCTCCTTTCCCTGTCAGTTTTGTTCAGAAGACCTGCAGTCTCCAGGTAAAGCTTTGCCCTTCGCTTCCTCCGGCAGCTCGCCAGGATTGTCTGCTCGGACCGCAGGGTCCAGAGTCCCAAGGTGGGCACCCCCGGGGAGAGGGACCTTCGGCTCCACGCCGCGAAGGAAACTGCCAAGGAAGCCGCCCCTCCCCCGGTGTCCCTCCCAGAAGGGAATGTGCAGGGTAGGAGGCAGAGCCGAACTCCAGCACCACCATCTACCTCCTACAGAAGATCTCCAGCACACCGTGGACCACACACCTGCGTGTGCCGGGTGAGGGATGTAAGGGGTGCAGGACAGGCAGGGCACGAAGGAGCAGGAATGCCCTCCCCCGAGGAAAATTCCTGCCGCTTGGCGCAACTCTGACCGGAGGAAGGCCTGGGCCTCAACCGTGAGGGGCCACCCCTGCCCACCCCTGCCGAGGCCGAGCGACACTCACCACACAGAGCCATAGGCACCGGAGCCCACCGGGGACAGATTCTGGTAACGTTCGGGCACCTCCCAGATTGTCTTGTTCAGCTCCTGCCGGTAGAACGTGGGCCTCTCCTGAGACATTTTCCAGCGGCAGCTGCGGGGCAAGAAGGTGGCCCTGCGGGGCCGCCGCCTGCACCCGCACCCGTTCCCGGCCCTAGTTGCCCGCCCGGTTGGGCGGGGACCTTAGCGCTGGTCGCCCGCGCAGGTGCGGCTGCTGCGACCCCACAGACTCCCGCGCGCTTGGCCCCTGTCAGCTGCAGCTGCTGGGCGAGCCTCAGCGATGCAGGCGAGCCGGCTAAGAGCAGGGCGCGCTCCGGAGCTCAAAGCTACGCCCGCCGCGACCTCCCTGCACCCTCTCCCCACCAGGCCAATCCCCGGGCGCGTCGCCGGACTCTCGCTCTAGCTGCTGCGACCGCGGAGGCTCCAGGGGTCGGGGTTCCAGAGTCAGCCAGCAGGAGCCTCCCGCTGTACTCTCGCGATTACAGTTCCCGGGACTCTCCGCGAGCCGAGATTTTACCCAATATGGAACCTGCCCACAAGAGGCGGGGTTATGCGGGGGAGAGGACAGGAGGAGCAGTTCTCGCGAGACGAGAGCAACAACTGGAGACCAAAGGCAGAAACTCCCAGGGACCGGTCTTAAGGGCGAGAAGGTGGACGAGTCAAGAAGGGATAAGAGGGTACCATGCGTCGCGTGCGCCCCACCGTGGCCAGCGGTGCAAATGCCTGGCTCCATAATGGAAAGCAACAGTGACAGTGTCGAGAAAAGGGCCACTGCAAGTAGTCAGTCACCAGCAGCAGAGCACCTGCTTAGCAGAACCCCCAATTTCCAAATAAAGCTTGCACCCAGAAGAGACAGGTTCCAGCCAGAAAGCTGTTTCATTCCCATCTGCCAAGGACATACGGCTTACTCTTAGAAATTCTGATGAAGTCTGTCCCAAAGGAAAATACTAACCCTGCATCAAAACTGAGGTTTTTCACCCAAACTCTCCTAGCAGTTCTTAAACTTTTATGTGAAGAATCACCCTAGGACTTTGTTTTAAGACGCAAATTCCCAAGACCCACCGGGAGTCTGACCGGATAGGTGTGGGCATCAGGAATTTGTATTTTTAGGGCGGCGCCCGTAGCTCAGTGGGTAAGGTGCCAGCCACATACACCTAGGCTGGCAGGTTCGAATCCAGCCTGGGCCAGCTAAAGAAGAACAATGACAACTGCAACAACAACAACAATAGCCAGGAGTTGTGGCGGGCACATGTAGTCCCAACTACTTGGGAGGCTGAGGCAAGAGAATCACTTAAGCCCAAGAGTTTGAGGTTGCTGGGAGCTGTGATGCTACAGCACTCTACCCAGGGCGACAGCTTGAGAATTTCTAAAAAAAAAAATAACAATAATATTTTTAGAATACATCCCAGGTAGTTCTGATTCAGGAATGTCCCTAGTATCTTTCTTTAAAAAGCATTTAAAAAACCATAATATTGGCTCGGCGTCTGTAGCTCAAGCGGCTAAGGCGCCAGCCACATACACCTAAGGTGGTGGGTTCGAATCCAGCCTGGGCCCGCCAAACAACAGTGACGGCTGCACCCAAAAAAAGTAGCCAGGCGTTGTGGCAGGCACCTGTGGTGTACCAGCTACTTGGAAGGCGGAGGCAGGAGACTCGCTTGAGCCCAGGAGTTGGAGGTTGTTGTGAGCTTTGATGCTACGGCACTCTACCCAGGGGGACAGCTTGAGTCTCTGTCTCAAAAAAAAACAAAAACAAAAACCCATTACATTGAAGGTTTGAAGCTGACGTCTGCCCCGAAGAAGGATCCAGTGAAGAGGATTTTAACCATTTAACTCTCTCTCTCTCCCTCGCTCACTTTCTCTCTATATATATGCATATATATATATTTTTAATTCAAGCCTCTCCAGGTAAGAACAGGGCAGGGAGTGGTCTTCTTCCTCTTCTTTTTTTTGTAGAGACAGAGTCTCACTTTATCACCCTCGGTAGAGTGCCGTGGCATCACACAGCTCACAGCAACCTCCATCTCCTGGGCTCAGGGGTTTCTCTTTGACTCAGCCTTCCAAGTAGCTGGGACTACAGGCACCCGCCACAACGCCTGGCTATTTTTCTGTTGCAGTTTGGCGGGGGCCGGGTTTGAACCAGCCACCCTCGGTATATGAGGCCAGCGCCATACCCACTGAGCCACAGGCGCCAGCCATGGAGTGGTCTTCTTGCAGTGTTGCATTTAGGCTAGTCAGTTGACTTTTCTTTGACCTTAGTTCTAGCTTCTGCAAGAAAATTCCTGCCCTACATTCCCAACTAATGGGGGTAATTTGTAAAAACTTAACAAGATAGTTAATGTGAATGGTTAAGGTATTAGAACCCACCTACACCCACTGTTATCAATCTATGCCTACTACAATAGAGCTTGTCACCAGGAGTGCTTCTCATCACTTCCTAAGATTGTTCTCTTCTGTGCTACACACTCCTTAAAGGGCTCAAACTTTGCCTCACTTGTTCCAGCATCAAGCATGGTATCTAGAACACAAAATGTACCCCATAAATATTTGAAAAAATTATTAGCAACAACCATGATCAATTTAAAGGGTGGTACAGGATCCTCATTTCTCCTCAAAGAAAACAACAAAAACAAAAACCAGGGTCATGTGTGACTCATAGAAAAGCTCTTTTGGAGCCAATGTGGCTTAGCCTGGATTCTCTTGCCTACAAAAACATGCTGCTTGAGAATGTTTGAAGCCCACCTGTGGGTTAGGGAACTTTCTAAGAAATAATGGAGGGTGAAGGGGGATGTGAGAGCAAAGATATGACTGTGAAGAAATGAGTGATGGATACAAGGGGTAAAGAGGAAGCTTGAAAGCAGGAATCCTAAGAAATGCATATATTTATCCAACAAACTGATATGAGGTAAGGGTGAATGAAAGGGTAAAGATGTATGCAGTACATTCGTTTGCTCATTCTACCGGTGTGTATTAAATGCCTTACTAGGTACCAAGTACTTCTGATAGAAAGATGGTTAAAAACCACAGATTTCCACCTGTGGAGCTTGTCAGCAACAGGAAGGTAATCATTCAACTCAAATTTCTTGAATACCTTGACCACACTGTTTTAGGCATTGGTGATACAACAGTTAAGGCAAGAGATAAACATCCCTGTCCTCATGGGGTAGACAATTCACAAAAAGGAGAGCTTAAAGTGAATAGTAAGTGAGACATCAACACCGTAATTAAACAAGTGTAAAACTGCAAGTGGGCCAAGCAGGAGTACAAGATAGTACTGAGAGACAGCTACCTGGACTGAGCTTCCCTGGGGAGAATAAAAGGGGTGGATGCCCAGGGTAATGAGTGCATACAGAACAGGAGACTTGAGTAGGACACCTGGGCAGGACGGTGTCATCCAGTGGGAGAGTTAGGCTCATGGGGCAGGGAGTTTAAGGCTGGAAACCTAGGTGACCCTCCTAGCCTCCATTTCCTCACACCTCTTTGAGACCTGACCGGGTCCTCAAGAATTACTGTAGGTGCAGTGCAGGTACTAGGCCTGGGACCAAACAGGCCCTCAATCAATGGTAAAACCTCAGAGAAAGTAGGGGACTGGTGGCACAGATGCTCAGATGTACCACAGGTACCAAGAGGCTCCCACGTTCCAGCAATGGGGAAGACGCCCAGGTACCCCTTTGCCCGACCCCTCATCCCAAACTGCTCATGCTCCCCTTCCACACAGTCCCCCGCCCCGCCCCGACCCCCGCCGGCCCAGAACGCCAGCGGGTTCGGCGGCAACGGCTAGGGAACCGCCGGCGTCTGCGTCCGCAGCGCGGCCAGCCAGACGGGAGCCCGGTGAGACCCCAGCGCCTGCAGTCCTGACCCCGCTGGGGAACGAGGTGAGCCACTGCCTGGAGACGCCCGAGCGCCGGGGACTGTGGGGTGTGAGCGGCCAGGCTATAGCGGGTCCCCGGCCCGGCGCGGACCCCAGAGCAGGACCAGGCGTGTTGCAGGTGCTTGGCCGATATTGTGGAATTAGGGCGGCGCCTGTGGCTCAGAGGAGTAGGGCTCCGGCCCCATATACCGTAGGTGGAGGGTTCAAACCCAGCCCCGGCCAAAAACTGCAAAAAAATACAAAATTGTGGGCTTAATGAATGACAGTCGTCCCTGGGAGCTTATCTCTCAGGTATTGTCTCTGCTTTGAAAGGCTATGTGGAATGGCAATGCCAAGAGACAGTGTGTGCGTTTTTGCAAGCTGAATTCTTTCCAGTTCGATTGAAGGTTGTAAAAAGCCCCAGACTGGTTTGGGCCGCATGCCCCACCACCTACCCCATCCATCTCCTCCTGAGACCTGACGTCCAGCCGCTCCTGGTCCCTTCAGAGCTCACTGCTTTTCTTCATTCTATTCCCTCTGACTGAACGCGCACCCGTCTTCCCCTTGCCCATTCTTTTCCCGTCAGTGTCGCCCTGTAAAGGCTTCTCCAATGCCCCACCCCAAGGAACATCCCTCCGACACACTTTATTTTACTCTCGCGGCGTCGTATTGAAGGTAATCATCCTATGTTTGAGTGTCCTGTGGTCATGGCCTGGAGAACTTGTCACCCCCAGCCACTCCAGCCACTACACGGTGACCAAAAGATGCCAGAGGCAATACTCTTTGCGTATACCTTTTCTATATTCCCAGTACATCCTCTATTAAAAAAATGTTGCAATAGGCTAAAGGTTGTTTCTGATGGAATTATAAATGCTTATTTTGAAATTTTGGAAGTGAAGTTTGTCTTACCAGGATTACCGAAAACACATGAAAGATAATATGAGAGGAAAGATATTCTTGGTGGGGAGGCCTAGGCGAGTTGATTGCTTGAGCTCAGGAGTTCCAGATCAGCCTGAGCAAGAGTGAGACCCCGTTTCTAAAAATAGCCCGGCACTGTGTCAAGGGCCTGTTAGTCCCATCTACTGGGGAGGCTGAGGCAAGAGGATCAATTGAGCCCCAGAGTTTGAGGTTGCTGTGAGCAATAACAACACTGCACTCAACCCCATGGCTACTGATACTGTCTCAAAAAAGAAAAGAAAGTTACTCTTGCAAGTATACTAGTTTTCAGGATTTCATACCTATTGGGTCCATAGGCAGAAAATTGGATTATATTTAAAACTTTTTATTCTTAGCTTTTAAAATATTCTAAACACACATTATGTAAATAAATCAAAGAATGGATGGTTATGGGTAGTATAGGGGGGTGAAAGAGCTCATACTTTATTTTTTATTAGAATCACCTACAAAACTGCTTCCCCCCCCCCTTTGAGACAGGATCTTGCTGGGTCACAGAAGCTACCAGAGTGCAGTGGTGTCATTATAGCTCACTGCAACCTCAAACTCCTGGGCTTAAGTGATCCTCCCACATCAGCCTCCCACAGTGCTGGGATTAGAGGCATAAGTCGCCATGCTCAGCTTGGAGAGCTTCTTAAAACAAACTGTTGGGTCCCACTTCTAGAGTTTCTAATTCAATAGGTCTTGTTAAGTGGAGCCTCCTTGACAGGAGGAGCTTCTGGTCATTGTATCATGTTGAGAATGGTCTTGCTGATATATAAAAATGAGCCACTAGGATTTCTATGAAATCAAGACTGACATAATGCAACTAGAGAAACTCTAGAGAAAACTACTAAGAAAAATAAGGAAGTTATGTTTTTTCCTTGCTGCCTTTAGCCAGACATTTGATGAATCCTTTAAAGACATATTTCCACCTGCCTGGCCTACTATCCTCATTCTAGAGCCTCCCCTAGACTTCTGTAATAATCATGGTCTTCAACTGGTCTTTTTGCCTCAGTATCTCCTATTTCTAGGACATGCAATAGAATTTTCTGTGATGATAGAAATGTTTTATTACTGTCCACTAAGGTAGCCACTAGGCACATGCAGCTGTTGAGCACTTGAAATGTAGCTAGTGCAGGTGAGGAACAGAATTTTTTATTTTTGCGGTGCCCCATTCCTTGAGCCACAGGTGATGCCCAGGAACAGAATTTTTTGTTTTGCTTTATTTTAATTAAGTTAAATTTAAGTAGCTTCATGTAGCCAATGGCCACCATGCTGGACAACATGGCTCTAGACCATAGCACTAACATAATTCCTCTTCCCAAAGTGCATCTATCTGTATATTACTACTCTTGCTCAAAGACTTTAAGTAATTAAGAAGTCCAGTTCAATCCAATATGCAAGACCTTCCAGGAATAGGTCTCAACCTACTTTTTAGGGGGCTTAACACTAACTTTACTTGGGTCTGCTGAATTACTTGCCTTATTATTATCATCTATATAATGTTATTCTGTTCTCTTCTTGAAATACCTGTTCTTCTTCCTTGCCCCCAGTCGAGATGAAGCTTCAATCATATCTCCTCTAGGAGGCTTTCTCCATCCCTCTATGCTGGAATTATTAATCCCACTCTGTAGGGCTTAATATTTGTTGTATATGAATGTAGCATTACCTAAAGTGGAATCAGAAAGGCTAGATCTAAATTCTGGCTCTCCTATTTAATTGCTGTATGACTTGGAGAAACTCACTAAAGTCATCAGTAAAATGAGTATAATCATAATCAGAAAGATGGTATGTACCTCTTGAGATGATGTGTAAGAAAAAAACTAGTAAATGGTAGGCCAGCAATAAATGTTAAAGACTATCTTTCCCACCTCTAAACTCTTATAGCACTATATGATATTTTGGTATTTTTTAAACATGTAGCATTCAATAAATGTTTATGGAACACTAAATTAATTGACCATGAATGGAGTAGTATTCTTCACTCTGAAACAAATGAAGGCTAAGTGTGGATATGATAGAAATTTATAAAATTGTGAAAATAAAAGCAGACTCACCAAATCGTAACCTAGTAGATGGGGGCCACCTTTTAAAATATAAACAAGTAAATTGATAATAAAGTGAAATACAACTTTCCATAAGTAAACAAATGGGATACCATACTTCCAAAGGGTACAATAACAGACAACACAAATACTTTAAATTCAGAAGAGAAGAATTCATAGGAGATAAACTATAATTACTAATGGGAGAGGATGAGGATTTTTTTTTTCTCTCTCTTTTTTCTTTTAGAGACAGAGTCTCACTTTATTGCCCTCGGTAGAGTACCATGATGTCATAGCTCACAGCAACCTCCAGCTCTTGGGCTTAGGCAATTCTCTTGCCTCAGCCTCCCGAGTAGCTGGACCTATAGGCCACAACGCCCAGCTATTTTTTTGTTGCAGTTTGACTGGGGCCAGGTTCGAACCTGCCACCCTCAGTATATGGGGCCAGTGCCCTACCCACTGAGCCATAGTCTCTGCCCAAGATGAGGATATTTTGTGTCTTCAACAAGTCTCTTGATACAGAGTTAAAACACTGTTGGTTCTCAGACCAAATCTGGCATGGAAAGGTGTTTAGTTAGATGTGTGCTTTGGTTTTAAAAATATGTAAAATAATTGACAACATTAAGAAGTCGTAAGATGCCACATAAAAATCTACTATTACAGTTTCTTCCAGAAAAGAACAGATCTGCCCATCCTGGGCTAAACATGGCAACAATTGCTGGAGCTAAGTAGCCACCTCTGCTTTTGCCAATCTCCATTGTTCCTTGATGTTCAACCATGGCCTATGTCATACCAACCCTGCCTCAGTACCATTTTCAGCAAAATGCTGGATTCTAAGACCCTCAGTCTGACTGGGATAGCAATTTCTTTCTTTTTGAGACAGGTTCTCATTGTCACCCAGGCTAGAGTGCAATGGCATCATCATAGCCATCATTGAAACTTCTGGGTTCAAGTGATCCTGTCACTTCAGCCTCCAGCATAGGTGGCACTACAGGCACAGATCACTATGCCCTGTTAATATTTTTTATTTTTGGTAGAGATGGTGGGGTAGGTCTCACTCTTGCTCAGGCTGGTTTTGAACTCCAAGGTTCGAGTGATCCTCCTGCCTCAGCCTCCCAAAGTGCTAGCATTGCAAATGTGAGATACTGTACCTTGCCAGCAATTTTATAATTAAGAAGTTAATTAGACTCTTTTAGGTTGTCAGGAACAAAAATACTCTAGTAATGGAAGTGCATAGGACGATTACATGGAAAAAGTAAGGAAGATTGGGTAATATTCCTGTGAGTAGAGGAAAGAAAGGAAGAAATATTCCTTTTTTTTTTTTTTTTGAGTTCTGTCTCTTCTATTTGTAAAAAAAATAAGGTGTTAATTCTCTTAAGTGAGATATTCTAAAATACCTTTCCCATCTTTTTCTGTATTTCCCAAACACCTTCTCACTGCTATAGTGAATTTGTGATCTTTAGCTAATGGTTGTTATTCACTGTACTACTGCTACCCAATGTTTTGAGGGTAAAAATCTAAGTATGGCCCAATTCCTTAACTTTTCTAAAACCTTTTCATCACCTGTATAATGAGGTAAATAATTGTGGAAATTTAATGAAATAAAGTCGTAAGTTCAAATAAACTGATGAAAAAAGTCTAGCACTTGGCCTGTAAGTGCTCAATAAATGGTGGTGGTGATGATGATGATACATGATCATTCTGAAGGAAAACAAAGTTACTAACACATTAAACTTGTTTTCAGCCTCACCTGTAAAAGAACTATTTGTATGTAATTTGAGTGTTTAACAATATATTTTAGAAGTATGTAATATGTGTATATATATATATACTTTTTCACATTAATGTGGAAGAATTTTAGAGTTTATGCCTTTTTTATTATTTAAACATAGATTATTAAGAGTGATTATACTTTGTCCCAGAGATAGGTCCCTGTCAACCCTCATTAACTCTGCCTTATCACTCTTTAAAAGTGCAGAATAAGGCCAGGCATGGTGGCTCATGTAATACTAGCACTCTGGAAGGCCGAGGGAGGGGGATTGCTTGAGCTCAGGAGTTTGAGACCGGCCTGAGCAAGAGCCAGACCCTATCTCTAAAAACTAGCATTGTGGCGGGTACCTGTAGTCCTATCTACTTGAGAGCCTGAGGCAAGAGGATTACTTGAGCCCAAGAGTTTGAGGTTGCTATGAGCTATGATGATACTTCTGCACTCTAGCCACGGCTACATAGTGAAATTTATCTGAAAAGAAAAGAAAAAATGGAAAGAGAAAGAAAAAAAAAAAGCTTAAAGTGAACCCCAATGCTGTCTAACCATGTCATTTTGTGGACAAGGCAGCTAAAATTCAGTTTCTAAGAAACTTGCCTCCAGTTATATAGCTAGTCAGAAAATAAGCCAGGACTAATCCCCTGATATCCTATCCACTGCTTTTTCTGCTATACTCTTATGGTCCTAACTGGATTCTTGGCAGTCATTCAAGAGATATTTGTTGAGGGCTTGCTAAGTAGAAAGCACTATCCCGGGCGCTGGGAATAGCGCCTTGACCCATCAAAGTCCAGCCTCCTGAGCTTACATTTCATTGGGGAATTAGACAGTGGACAAATAGATAAATATTGAATCAGGTGCGGGCAAGTGTTGTGAAGAAAAATAAAGGGGAAAGGGATAATGATGGTTTTCATTTTAATAGAGAAGTTAGAAGAGTATTGAGCACTTAACTTTTAGCATTTCCAGTGAAAATTGGTGATTAATGTCGACTTTTACCTCTTGTATCATTTTCCTGCAATACAGCAACACAGTTAAATATAAAGAAAACTAAGTTTCATACGAGGACACCTGGGTTCTAGTCCTAGCTCTAACTATTAATAAACAGCTAAGACTGTTTAAACTTCTGGGCTTTGCTTTCTCTATTTGTAAAATGAGAATAATACACATAAATTGTACAGTTTTGAGAGTTTTGTAAAACTGAAACATGTTATACAAATATAAAATATTATTATATAGGCTGGGTGTGGTGGCTCATTCCAGTAACCCTAGCACTTTGGGAGGCTGAGCCAGGAGGATTGCTTGAGACCAGAAGTTTGAGATCGGCCTGAGCACCATGGTGAGACTCAGTCTGTACAGAAAATACAAAAATTAGCTGGATGTGGTAGTGCACACCCGTAATCCCAGTTACTTGGGAGGCTGAGGCAAGAGGATCACTTGAACCCAGGAGTTTGAGATTGCAGCGAGCTAGGCAATGCCCCTGCACTCTAGCCTGGGCAACTAGTAAGACGCTATCTCACACATAAAAGAAATCATTGCATAGAAATTTTATTTCCTTAGAAATGTGCTAAGGATCTAGATTTTTTAAAATGGTTTTTTATTTGATCTCTTTTCATTCACCCAGGAATGATGCAGCTAGAAAGGAGCACCATTTCTGGTCTCAGCTCTAAAAACAGGCAAAGTTCTTTTGTATATGATGTTAAGCGAGATGTGTACAATGAGGAGACCTTTCAACAGGAGCACAAGAGGAAGGCCTCTTCCTCTGGGACCATGGACATCGACATTACCACCTTCAGACACCACGTCAAGTGCCGGTGCGTGTGTCCAGTCATTTAGCTGCCATCAAGCCAGGCAGGACCAAAACCTAACCTGACTCCTTTGGTGCCCACCTCTGTCTCCTCCTCTGAATCCCTGTGGTCCAATCCCTGCAGTTTATTGTGTAATTTTTCACTCACTGTGGCTAGCTAGGTCCTACAATTCAGGGGCTCTTAACCTGTTTTTGTGCTATGAACTTTTCAGTAGTCAATGAAGCTAATGAACCTCTTTTCAGAATAATTTTTTTACTGTTTTTTATTGTGGTAAAATAAGACTGGCCGGGCACAGTGGTTCACACCTATAATCCCAGCTCACTGGGAGGTCGAGGCAAGAGGATTGTTTGAGACCAACCTGAGCAAGAGAAAGACCCCCTAAAATTAAAATTAAAAAGTTAGCTTGGCGTCCTGGCAGGCACCCGTAGTCTTAGCTACTTGAGAGGAGGGTAGCTTGAGCTTATGAGTTTGAGGTTGCAATGACCTATGATGACGTTACTGCACTCTAGCATGGGCAACAGAGTGAGACTCTCAAAACAAAAAATATATATATACATATAACATAAAATTGGCTATTTTGACCATTTTTAAGTATACAATTCAGTGGCATTATTGACATTCACAGTATTATGCAACCATCACCATTATCTATTTCTAAAACTCTTTCATCACCTCAAACAGAAACTCTGTTAAGCAATAGTTCTCCATTTCCCCCTCCCCACCAGCCCATCTTAACCTCTCTTCTACTTTCTATCTCTATGAATTTGCCTATTGGAACTATTTCATTTAAGTGGAATCACATAATGTTTGTCTTTTTGTCTCTGGCTTCTTTCACTTAGCACAATGTTTTCAAGGTTTATCTGCACTGTAGCATTTTATGGCTGAATAATATTCCATTGTATTTATATACCATATTTATTTTTCCAAAAATTTGTTAATAGACATATAGCTTGTTTCTAGCTCCTGGCTACTGTGAATAATGCTGCTGTGGACATTGGCTTAGGAGATATGTTTGAATCCATTTTCAATTATTTTAGGGATATACCTAGCAGTGAAATTGTTGAATTATATGGTAATTCAATGTTTAACTTTTTGAAGAGCTGCCAGACTGTTTTCCAAGGCTGCTGTACCATTTACTTTCCTATTGGCGATTTACAATTTCTCCACGTCCTTGCCAATATTGTTTTCTTTCTTTCTTTCTTTCTTTCTTTCTTTCTTTCTTTCTTTCTTTCTTTCTTTCTTTCTTTCTTTCTTTCTTTCTTTCTTTCTTTCTTTCTGAGTCTCAAGCTGTTACCCTGGGTAGAGGGCCATCAAGTCACAGCTTACAGCAACCTCAAACTCTTGGGCTTAAACGATTCTCTTGCCTCAGCCTCCCAAGTAGCTGGGACTACAGGCATCTGCCACAACACCCAGCTATTGTTGTTGTTGCTGCAGTTGTTATTGTTTTTTTAGCTGGCCCCGGGTCAGGTTCGAACCCACTACCTTCAGTGTATGTGGCTGGCACCCTGCTAACTGAACTATGGGCACTGCCCTGTTTTCTATTTTTTAGTCATAGCCACAAAGTAGATATGAAATTGTTTCTCATTGTGGTTTTTCGCTTTTGTTTTTGTTTTGCATTTTCCTAATGACTAAAGATGATGAGCACCTTTTCATGTGGTTTAGTGGTCATTCATCTATCTCCTTTGGAGAAATGTCTATTCATTTACTTTTCCCTTTTTAAAAATAGGTTTGTCTTTTTGTTATTGAAATGTAGTTCTTTATATATTCTGGATGTTAAACTGTTAAAAGATATGTGAGTTTGTAAATCTTATATGATGTGTAAATATTTTCTCCCATTCTGTAGGATAGGTGTCTTTTCACTCTATTGATTGTATCCTTTGACATACAAAAGTTTTAAATTTTGATGAAATTCGATGTGTTTATATTTTCTCTTATTGCCTGGAGTTCTGGTGTCATATTTAAGAAACTATTGTCAAATTCAAGATCATGTATATATTCATCTCTGTTTTCTTCTACGAATTTTATAGTGTTAGCTCTTAAGTTTAGCTTTGATCTATCATGAATTAATTTTTGTATATAGTATAAGGTAATGGTCCAACTTCATTCTTTTGCATGTGGATATTCTGTTTCCCAGAACAATTTGTTGACAAGACTATTCTTTACCTTTTGGTCTTGGACAGAATAATTTTTAATATACAAAATAAATAGGATTATAAGCAAAACCAAATGCATGAAAAATAGTTATCAAAATGTGAAAATCCCCAAATTATGTTATTTAATAATGTGGATCTAATAACTACTATAATTTAAAAGTAGTGATGAGTGTAAATGGTATTTCAAAATATTTGCAGCAATTGTAATATAACAATATTTGTGATTTCTACTGGTAACAAAGTCAAGTTCTGCTGGTACCACTGTGATTTGTTATCAACATTAATATTTGAAGAAAATGCTAAATATCAGTTAGAGTTTAGATAAAATAAAGAGATCTTTTCCTATTTAAGTTCGCATGCATCCTCAAATTCTATCTACAGACCACTTGGGGGTCCATAAACTTCAGGTCAAGAATTCTTTGTGACCTACATCATGGCACTAGACCTAATCACTCAAGTTGTCCTCACTCACACTGATTTATTAGTTCCTCTTGTACCATGGTCTACTAGCCAACTGGCACATATTGGTGACAGTGAGGAGAGCCTCCACACAGACCTTCCCCTCCCTAAGGCCTTCTTTGTCCATATCCTTCCTTTTGCATGTTGTAATCTTGGATATCCTGCCCCAGTTCTTTCATTTCCTCTGCTGCAAGATGGGTGAGGAGACAAGGGCCAAAGAGGGCATCTGGGCTTTGTGTCTACAAAATGATAGCCTTTTTCTAACTTAGAAATAAATATTCCAAAAAAATTTCAATTTTCTTCACCTTGTCATCTGGACACTTAAATCTGACCCATTGTACCTCCTATGTGTTTTAAAACAGTTCTTATTCCCTAATTCTAAAACATACAGTTCTCAGCTGGGCACAGAGGTTCATGCCTATAACCCTAGCACTTTGGGAGATCGAAGCAGGAGGAATGCTCAAGGCCAGTAGTTTGAGACCAGCCTAAGCAATACAGCGAGAACTGTCTCTACCAAGACAAAAAGATAATAAAGAAATGAAATATACAGTTCTCTCCACTTCTGAATTTTAAGGAGAAAGGCAGCACAGCACATTGGTTATGGGCATGATTCTTAAGCCAGGCTACCTGGTCTTGAATCCCAGTTCTGCAGCTTCCTAGCTGTGACACCTTAAGCAAGCTATTCATTCCGATGGTGTCTTAGTTTCCTCACCTGTAAAATGAGCATGATTATAGCACCTACCTCAGAAAGTGACTATGAGGATTTAAAAAGTATGTATTTGTAGAGAACCTAGGAAATAAAAATTGCTAAGTAAATGTGGGAGTTTTTTTCCCAAGTAAGTGATCTTTTAACTCCATCTCTTCTTTTCTGCAGAAAACCTCTTATCTCTATCCTCATTCTCTTCCTCTTAGCAACTGCACATACTCCCTTTCTTTCTCTTTCTTTCTTTTTTTTTTTTTTTTTTTTTTTGTGGTTTTTGGCCGGGGCTGAGTTTGAACCCACCACCTCTGGCATATGGGACTGGTGCCCTACTCCTTTGAGCCACAGGCACTGCCCCATACTCCCTTTCTTATCAAAATCTCCACTGTGTTTTTATATTGACTCTTACATTCCTCACTTTTAAGATGCCTTACCTAACATCCCCCATAAGCTGCAACTTCGATTCCAGTTTCCTCCTTGGTTCCTGTCATTCTTAGAGCCTCATCACTCCATGTCCACTATATTTTTCAACCATGCCAGGGAGCTCTGACGCCCCTGCCTAGAGTGGCTGGCGAAGTGACACATGGAGAGGAAGGGAGACTGAACCAGGTTGAGAAACAAAATGCCCCAGTGTCGTGCTTTACCCTTCTCCATGGAGGGTCACAACTGGAAAGGAGGCCAGTAGTTTGTGTGACCCTACTGTTGAATAGCTTACCTGCCTCATACCCAGGGACTCTCCTAGAATAGCAATGATGTTTCTTCCAAACCAATGGTCTTGCTTCTGGTTCCTGAGCAGGATTTAACATTGGCTAATAGGAACTGCGGAGATAGTAGAGTGGACAGATCCCTGAACTAGAAATCAGAAGACCTGGTTTCTAGCCCCAGCTTTTCTCACATTCCTGTGACCTTGGCAAAGTCACATTTATTTAGTCTTAATTACATTAGGAATAGCAATGTTCGTAGTTATGAGAGTCAAACGTGATATTACTTCTTTTACAAGCACATATTTTAGCCCCGCATATGCTATGGTTATATTTGTTGTTATAGTCATATCCCGATTATCCAGCTCAGCTCAGATATGAAAAATCTTCATTATCTGCTTTCAAATCCATGCTAAAATATAAATAACAAAGAGGAATTCAAAACCAAATTATTTTTACTGATAGATGATGATTCTGCTGTTTTAGATGACTCAAAAGACTACAGTAGGTCTTCTCAATCTCTGCACCATTGACATTTTGGACCAGAAAATTATTTCTTGTGGGAAAATGCCCTATGTACTGTGGAATGTTGACTTTCTGCCCACTAGACACCAGTCATGAGAACAAAACTGTCTCTGGCTATTACTAAATATCTGTTGGGGAACAAAATTGCACCTGGTTGAGATTCACTAGGTCCAAGGATAATATTTTATAAAGCTATTTCTTTGTGTGACTTACTACATATACACAGGAGTTCATATTCCATATTTTATATAAATTTCCCCTGTCAAAGGTCAAAGCCTGAGTTAATATTTGGTCAAAAATTTTAGTATATGGGAATGATATAAATGTGTTTACCATCCCATTACCCATCAGCATTACCTATCTCAAAATAGTGTCCTTACCAAAAAAAGCAATAGCAGTCCATTTTCTACTGGAAAATTGGTAGGTTTAAGTCTCTCTAAACAATCTATAAAAACATAGAACTGATTAAATGCTGGCATATAAGGTTTAGTTCTTATCATACACATAGCACTGATTCTGAACCTGAGGGTTTTTTGTCCTTCAGGGACAAAATTGCTGAAGACATTTTTAGCTGTGTCAACTGGGAAAGGGTGCGCTGCTGATAACTAGTGGGAAGAGACCAGCATGTTGCTGAACATCTCATAATGCACAGGATAGCCCACAACAAAGAATAATCAGGTCTAATAGGTCAAAATGTCAGTAGTGCTGATGAGAAACCGCTGTATGAGAAGAAGGATTATATACTATGTCTTTTCTTGGCTATGTGTGCATTTTTTGGAGAACCTAATCAAGTCTTTTCTCTCTCACAGCTGCTCATGGCGCAAGTTCCTAAGATGCATGTTTACAGTCTTTCCCTTCTTAGAATGGGTGTGTATATATCGATTCAAGGATTGGCTTCTTGGAGACTTACTTGCTGGTCTAAGTGTTGGCCTTGTACAAGTTTCCCAAGGTAAGGAAAATAGGAAGCTGCTTTTTCATCCAAAGTCAATATATCTTGTCCATTTATCCAAGAGTAAATAATTACTTATACTAGATGAACAGAGGAAAAAATGTGAATTTCTTTCACATCATTATGATTTTTTCTCTTACCTCCCAGATTTCTAAACCCTCCAGAATGGTTATAAAAGACTTTGTTTAGTTCAGGTCCTGGAATGCTTTCCAGAGTATTTGTAATGCCCACAATTGGTCATTCCTTCCTTAACTAGTCATTTCACATTCATGACTACAATGCATCTTACTCAGCATTGGTTTTACAATACTTTGAAAAGTGAAGCATGGGAAACATAGCATGTCAGTATTTCTCCAGCAGGTGACAAGCAATCCAGTGACTTCTCTGTGATCTCCCAAATTACAGTTCAAATGTAAGACATTAAGATCGCACAGATAGGAGCAGGAGTTAGCTGGGCTTTAGAAAGCTTATTTCCCAAATAGGTATCAACAACTCTTGTAATAGTCCAATAAATGTTAGTTCCAGAGTCCATAAGGGACGTGTCCAGTTACAAGAGTCACTATGCCTAGAGAAACCAAAAGCCAGACCTTCCAACTGGATATTTTTCTTTCATTTACAGTCCTCTTGGTCCAGATGGAGTGTGCTATTTTGGCTCATTTTTACCATAAGCAATTCTGACTGGCAACACAGCTGATGTTCTACCATTATTAGGTTTCCAGGGAAACAGAGCTAGAAAATTAATCCAAAATAAAATTTTTCCACAGAGAAAGAGAAAGGGTTTTACTAATCCTTTACAAAGGGTAGTTTACAGCTCCTCAGATTGTTGTTGAACACCTCCACTTCTCTATTCCTCAGCAGTCCACAGGCAGGTTAAAGCTTGTGTTCATGCACGTTGTCGACAGCACAAAAGAGGTCAGCCAAGCGGGCAAGTCATGGCTCCAATCCAATTCTGGCACAGGGCTGCTAATTGGGGAAAAGGGATGACTTGTCATTTCATTTTATTTTTATTTTCTTATTTTTATAATAATTTATTATTTATTTATAAATTATCAAACAGTAAAACAGGCTTTTTTCCCCTTTTGGTGTATACTTCTGTGAATTTTAACACATGTATTGGGCTTGGTGGCTCACGCCTATAATCCTAGTACTCTGGGAGGTCAAGGTGGGTGGATCACTTGAGCTCGTGAGTTTGAGACCAGCCTGGCCAAGAGTGAGAACCTGTCCCTACTAAATGTGAAATACTGTGGCAAGAGGATTACTTGAGCCCAAGAGTTTGAAGTTGCTGTGAGCTATGATGCCATGGAACTCTACCCAAGGCAATAGCTTGAGACTCTGTCTCAAAAAATAAAAAAATGTACAAGTTTGTGTCATCACCATCACAATCTGGACAGAGAATTATTCCATAATCCCCCATACTGTCTTTTTGGTCACATCGTCCCCTAATCTATAACCCTTAGTAACTTTTGATCTGTTCTCTATCACCATGGTTTGCCTTTTTGAGAATATCATATAAATGGAAACATACAGTATATAAATTTTGAAGGTTGGCTTTTTTCATTCAGCATTAAACTTTTGGAGATTCATGCAAACTATTATATCAGTAGTTTATTTTTATTGCTGGATAATATTTAATTATATAGCTGGACCACAGTTTATCCATTTTTTAATTTATAGACATTTTGTTTCCACTTTTGTGTTGTCACAGTGAAGTTGCTATGAACATTTATGTACAGACTTTTTTTTTTTTGAGACAGCCTCAAGCTGTCACCCTGGGTACAGTGCCGTGGCATCACAGCTCACAGCAACCTCCAACTCCTGGGCTCAAGCGAGTCTCTTGCCTCAGCCTCCCAAGTAGCTGGGACCACAGGCGCCTGCCACAACGCCTGGCTATTTTTTGGTTGCAGCCGTCATTGTTGTTTGGCAGGTCCGGGCTGGATTCGAACCCGCCACCCCAGGTGTATGTGGCTGGCGCCTTAGCCGGTTGAGCCACAGGCGCCAAGCCGTATGTACAGATTTTTTTTAAGTCTTTTATTTTAATTAATTAATTTTTTGAGACAGAGTCTCAGGTTGTCACCCTGGGTAGAATGCTATAGCATCACAGCTCACAGCAACCTCGAACTCTTGGGCTTAAGCGATTCTCTTGCCTCCGCCTCCCAACTAGCTGGGACTAGAGGTGCCCACCACAATTCCCGGCTATATTTTGGTTGTAGTTGTTGTCTGGCAGGCCCTGGCTGGTTTGGAACCCGCCAGCTACGGTGTATGTGGCTGACACCCTAGCCGCTGAGCTACAGGTGCCTTATATACAGATTTTTGTGTGAATATATTTTCATTTCACTAGGGTAGAGTTGAGCTGCAGGTTATTGGTAAGTATATGTTTAACTTTATAAGAAATTGCCAAACTGTTTTCCAGAGTGATTTACCTATCATTTTACATTTCCGCCAGCAATGCGTGAGCATTCCATTTCTTCCACATCCTCATCAGCAATTGATATCATCAGTATTTTTTAAATTAATTAATTAATTTATTTAGAGACACAATCTCACTCTGTCACCCTTGGTAGAATGATGTGGCATCACAGCTCACAGCAACCTCAAACTCTTGGGCTCAAGTGATCCTCTTGCCTCAATCTCCCAAGTATCTGGGACTATAAGCCCCCACCACAATACCCAGCTATTTTTTAGAGATGGGGGTCTCACCCTTCCTCAGGCTGCTCTCTAACTCCTGACCTCAAGCAATCCACTTGTCTTGGCCTCCCAGAGTGCTGGGATTAAGCCACCCCACCCAGCCCCATCAGTATTTTTAAATTACACTTCATATTTTGAGATAATTATAGATTCATATGTACTTGCAAGAAACTGCAAATAAAACCTGTCTCCTCTTTTCCCAGTTTCCCTAGTGGTAACATCTTACAAAACTATAGTTCAGTCTCACAACCAGGATATTAACATTGCTATGGTCAAGATACAGAACATTTCCACCAGCACAAGCATCCTTCATGTTGTCTTTTTTTTTTTTTTTTTGAGACAGAATCTCACTTTGTCATCCTCAGTAGAGGGCCGTGGCATCATACCTCGCAGCAACCTCAAACTTTAGGGCTCAAGTAATTCTCTTGCCTCAGTTGCCCAAGTAACTGGGACTACAGGAGCCTGCCACAACGTCCAGCTATTTTTAGAGATGGGGTCTTGCTCATGAGCTCAGGCAAAGCACCCACCTCAGACTCCCGGAGTGCCAGGATTACAGGTGTGAGCCACCGCGCCGGCTTCATGTTGTCATTTTATAGCCACCTCCACCTACTTCCTATCTCCATCCCTTCCTTAATCTCTGGCAACCACCAATCTGTTCTTCTATAATTTTGTCAATTCAAGAAAGTTATATAAATGTAGTATAGTATGCAACCCATCGGGATTGGCTTTTTTCACTCATCATAGTTTTCTGGAGATTCATACAAGTTGTATCAATTGTTCATAATGCTTTATTGTTGAGTAGTATTTTATGGTATGGATATACCACACTTTATTGAAACATTTACCCATTGAAGGGATATCCAGATTGTTTCCAGTTTGTGGCTTTTATTCATACAAATATAGGTGCTATGAGCATTCATGTGCGGGTTTTTTTAATGAACGTCAAGTCTTCATTTCTCTGTGATAACTATTCAAAAACTCAATTAGTGAAGTACATAGGAGTTGCATGTTTAGAATTTTAAGAAACTGCCAATCTGTTTTCCAGAATGGGTGTATCATTTTACATTCCCACTAGCAATTAAAGAGTGATACAGATGTTCTGTATCCTTATCAGCATTTGGTGTTGTCACGTTTTTTATTTTAGCCATTCTGATAGGCATATAGTGATAACTCATTATGGTTTTAGTTTGCATTTCCTTAATGACTAATTAATTCTATTTAACATATTTTTGTGTGCTAATTTGCCATCTGTATATTTTCATAAAATGACTCTTCATGTCTTTTGTTCTAGGTAGATTGTTTGCATTTTTACTATTGAATTTTGCGGATTCTTTGTATATTCTGGATACTAGTCCTCTTGTCTTTTGTGTTTTGAGAGTATTTTCTCCCACTCTGTAGGCTGCCTTTTCAACCTCTTAACAGAATCCTTTGTGCAAAAGTTTTTGATTTTGATAGTCTAGTTTTTAGTATTTTTTTACTTTAGCCATTCTAAGAAGTATGCAATGGTATCTTATCATTGTTTAATTTTTTTTTTTTTTTGAGACAGAGTCTTACTATGTCACCCTGGGTAGAGTGCCGTGGAGTCACAGCTCAACCTCAAACTCTTGGGCTTAAGTGATTCTCTTGCCTTAGCCTCTCAAGTAGCTGGGACTACAGGCACCCTCCACAATGCCTGGCTATTTTTTGGTTGTAGTTGTCATTGTTGTTTGCCAGGCCTGGGCTGAATTCTAACCCGCCAGCTCCAGTGTAGGTGGCTGGCACCCTAGCTGCTGAGCTACAGGTGCCGAGCCTCTTATCATTGTTTTAATTTGCATTTTCCTAATGGTTAATGAGGTTGAACATCTTTTTTTTTTTTTTTTTTT